TGTTTTATTATGTATTTGAATAAATGTATTTGTCTACCGAACAGAGACCACCCTGGGTAGCAATCAGCATTAGAACGTCGTTAAACCGCAACTTAATTGCTCCTAGGTGGCCGCGATTCGGGATACGAACACGTGGCGAGAACAAAGGATGGCGGCCATCTTAAACCTCACGAATGCGGTCAGCGAGGCTTACGCATGAATTGCCTGGAACTGTTTTCGGCATGGCAAACATGCGAACGCCCGGTCCTCATGGGAGTCCTGGCTGATTACTTTCCACGCCATGAATCAAACCGGCATTCGGGAGGTAGAACCTACCGAACAAGGGGAGCATTCGCAAGCTGCACCATACGAACGGTAGTTTTCGTGTAATTAGACGCGAACAGAGACCGGCTCTTGCTGCTGATTTCATGGAACTCTGAATAGGATACCTCCACATGGCGAGCCGGTCAAACTTCCACACGATGCGATACGGAAACTACCGAACGAAAATTTGTGAGATTTGGATATGTGACTCCCAGTATCCTCAGCTACCCAGGAATGCAAATGTTATATTTGTATGTGTTATAGAAAGTACTTTTCTAAAAATGTTGAAAATTGTAATGTTTCTGGCCAGCAGATAATTGAGTTTAGTATGTTGCTGAAACTCAATTATCTAGCCCGGCCTAGAGGGGGAGTCTGTTACTGTATAAATTGAATGCTTGTTGCTTCCAATAAATCAGTCTTGTTCCAGCATTAAGCTTTGGCTCATGTGTGGATTATTTGGCGATACCAGCGGTATTTATTCGTGTGGATTACTTGGTGATTTTCTTTTATGGGAAGAAGGGAATGCTTGACGGTCATACAATATACTACCGTTTCAGAAGCGTCAAATACTGTTGTTACATCGCACTTTCAAAAATTCAAATTTTTGGGTGCTAAATAGTACATTTGCGGCTTGCATTTCTTGCAGTCCAATAAACTAAAAAATAAAATACAAAATTGTTGACTGTTGGCGGTTACATTGTCGCCTGACATAAAACATCTGTTAGTTTGATGGGTGAACGCAAAGAATGAGGAGAGCATCAAATAAGGGACGTGGCCCCGGTCGTGGTGCTGCTGGTGTTGGTGGAATCCCTGTTGCAAGGAGAGGACGTGGTCGATCTGTGCCAGCTACACGCACAAGTGAAACACCTTCCTCATGTGAGAGTACGCGACTGAACCTTCAGCGTTATTTGGTAGGCCCGAATGCCGCGCTACGAACGGTGAGGCCAGAACAAGTACAGGCGATAGTAGATTGGATGGCTGACAGTGCCTTCAGTTCCTGCACATTGTCTCTGCTGAAAGCCCTGAGTCAGCACCTGCAGCCCACGGCCATCTGTCTATCACCTCACCCCCTTGCAAATCACCCAATCAGTCTGGGCCACAAGTCATGCTGCAGTCTCTTATGCTTTTTGATGACTCTGCTGGCGGGGTTTCCATGGGCCATCCACCTAGCCCTGCCCCAGAAGTGGAAGGGATTGAGTGCACTGATGCACAACCACTTATGTGGCAGCACGTCTCTGATGATGACGAAACACAGGTGCCAACTGCCGTGGCTTTCGGCAGTGTGCAGACCGGCAAGGAGGGCAGGGTTGAGGAGTTGATGGAAGATGATGTGGAGGATGATGAAGTACTAAACCCCACATGGAATGAAGGTCATGCAAGTGACGTGTCCAGTTTGGAGGAAGAGGCGATGGTCGCACAGAGGCACCAGCACAGCATAAGAGGGAGCAGGGTGCAAAAGCGGAGCGGCCGTCCCCTAGACGGTACGCCAGCTACTGCCCACCGCACCCAGGCTTGGCAGTTCTTCAGACAATGTGCTGATGACAAGACACGAGTGGTTTGCACGCTGTTCAATCAGAGCCTGAAGCGAAGCATAAACGTGCTAAACCTGAGCACAACCTGCATGACCAGGCATCTACATGCAAAGCACAAGCTGCAGTGGAGTAAGCACCTCAAAAACCAAGAGAGATCTCAGGCTCATCCTGCTTCCTCTTCTGCTACTGTATCGGCCTCTTCCTCCACCTCTGGAGTCACAGTGGCACCTGCCACGCTGCAAACAGAGGATGTGGCAGCAACGCCACCTCGTCCGCCACTGTCCCCAAGCATCTCCACACTGTCCCATGGAAGCGTTCAGCTGTCCATCTCCCAAACACTGGAGAGAAAGAGGAAGTACCCCCTAGCCACCCGC